TCTTTATACCTAGAGAGAAAAACCCTAAAACTACCCAATGGAAACTTTCCATTTTTCTGTTTCAGCGAATAAGACAACCTTCTTCTTTTCTTCAATGGTTGCTTATTCTTCACTCCTTTTTCCTTAACGCCCACGCCTTGATAAATATCTTCACATCTTTATTAAAGGCTCCTTCCTTTTTTTTTCTTGCTCAACTCTAAACTCCGCATTTCATTTAGTAGTTCATGTCGTGCTGCATGAACTACTTCAACTCCGTTCTTGAACTACTTCAGCTCTGTCTGCACCATACATCTTCATACATCATATAAATTGAAAACAATATTTTATACTTCGGTAGAGAGAAAGAACGTGACTCATGTACAAATGGGCTGAATCTTTCTCCACGGGATCTTACAAACATCTTGCACCAGCCGCGTGACACCTGTCCATCACCCAATTGACTTAGCTTAAACCTCCGCCACGTCAACACCCCCTGCTACGCGAGCCGTTAACTCTGACGGCGTCACATGTCGGTTCCTTAATGAAATTTTCCGTCTTTCCTTGTCGGCCTGGCTCACGTTAAGTAAAACAACGAACGGCTCCAGATCATAAATATTAATTTCAACGGACAGGATTAATTTTGAATATTCTTTCTCGCCTTTACCTTTTATATATACTCTCTTTCTTCGTTGGTTATATTCTCTCTATCGAATCTGAATCATTTAAGATCTGTGTTTGTGAAAACCTAATCGGAGAAGATGACTGATGAACATAAACACGACGAATCTGTAACCGCCTCGGAGCCAGCTGTCGAGGTTGTTGAGAGAGAATCTTTGATGGATAAAATCTCAGAGAAGATCCACCACGGTGGCGACTCTTCCTCCTCGTCATCTGACGATGACGACGACAAGAAGAAGTCTTCGGACTCAATGAAATCGAAAGTCTACCGCTTGTTCGGTAGAGAGAAGCCTGTTCACAAGGTTCTCGGCGGTGGAAAACGTACGTTAGCTCCGATCTATCTTGATTTGAATCTTGATTTTAACCTAATCTTGATTTGATTCGATTCTGTTATTTTTTGTAGCGGCGGATATATTCATGTGGAAGGACAAGAAGATGTCTGGAGGTGTACTCGGTGGAGCTACAGTTGCTTGGGTTCTGTTTGAGTTGATGGAGTATCATCTTTTGACTCTTGTCTGCCACGTCATGATTGTTGTGCTCGCTGTCTTGTTTCTTTGGTCTAATGCTACTATGTTTATTAATAAGTAAGTTTTGATTATTAGATTTGATGTTCAGTTTTTTTTTTCTAGATTATTGTTAATTGGTTGGGTTTTTTTTTTTTGTTAGGTCGGTACCGAAGATTCCTGAAGTTCATATCCCTGAAGAGCCTATTCTTCAGCTTGCGTCTGGGCTTAGGATTGAGATTAATCGTGGGTTTTCTTCTCTTCGTGAGATTGCTTCTGGAAGGGATCTCAAGAAGTTTGTTACGGTAAGTTTTTTAAACTCTTTTGGAAAGTTTTGTGTGGGTTCTTGATGGGCTTTGAATGTTTTGATTTGGGTTAGGCTATTGCTGGCTTGTGGGTTCTGTCGATCTTTGGTGGCTGGTTCAACTTCTTGACATTGGCATACATAGCTCTTGTGTTGCTCTTCACGGTTCCTCTTGTCTACGACAAGTATGAAGACAAAGTTGACCCGTTGGGTGAGAAGGCAATGATTGAGATCAAGAAGCAGTATGCAGTGTTGGACGAGAAGGTGTTGAGCAAGATCCCATTGGGACCGTTGAAGAACAAGAAGAGAGATTAGGTTCTTACGAAAATGGTAATGGTAATTCGTCGATAGCAAACAAAAAAAAAAAAACCACGGTGTTGTGAAATGGTGTTAGATCTTTTAATATGTTTTTTGGTTTTTGTCATTGTTGGTGAAACGTGGCGGGGATATATTTAGTGTTGGTATCTGGCTCTCTCTATGTATAACTAAGAATTTCAAGATATTTGAATTTTCAACTTTGCAGTCTTGTGTTTTAAGATTGTTAATTTTGTTTGACGCAAGTCAAAGTTGTTGTCTCTGAATGTTGATCGGTAACTTCTGTGGCGTTAAGAAAGATTTGGTAGAGGGTCTACTCTAAATCCATACATACAAAATTAGTACGTTAAACTGTCAATTGGAGTAGTTAGCAACAGTCAGGGTGGCCGAGTGGTCTAAGGCGCCAGACTCAAGTTCTGGTCCTCGTGAGAGGGCGTGGGTTCAAATCCCACTTCTGACATTTATTTTTGTTTTCAAATCTTAATTATTTAGTCAATCATTTGTGTCTAATTACAGTTAGCTTTTTCTACATTGTGAATCATTTAACTGAGCGACGATCACCGTTTTTGGTTGTAACTTATCCCAACTGAAACTTGACAAAATGTCAAAAACCGAAAAGATGAATCCGTGTGAACAATACTTCTGAGTTCTTCGTATTAAAAATGTGAAATTCAGAGGCATATAAAAAAACTAAATCTCAAATACAATATCTAACTCTACAAATAATTGCCAATCTTAATCAAACAAATGTGTTGGAATATTGAACATCGCTCCCGTGCTTCGACAATTCTTCCTCAAGAAACCACATTCACCATCAGCCGTTTCACAAACACACGCCACTTCCGCGTCCTTAGCATTCACCAAGATCAAACAACTCCTCTTTCACCTGCGGTTGCCTGAACTTAGTATTCATCGCTCTGAACTGAAACACCTGCGATGTTACGGTTCCAGACAAAGTTGATGATGAGAGGTATCCACCAAGTTGTCACAAAGGCTATAGTCATGCAGGCGAGCCCTGGAGAAAAAGAAAAAAAAAAGATTAGCTTAATGATAAGAGATCATATTTTTGGTTTGTTGTTGGTTAAGTCCTTACCGAAAGCGAAAGCAATGTGTAGCATCCATTGACTGCTTGGCTTGCGACCATTGCAGCTCGCATAGCCACCATGAGAACCGGCCAGAAAAATGGATCTGAAGAACAAGAGCATAACACATATAACCATATGACAAGCTACACGAGCAAGGAGAAGTTTATGAACCCATAATCATATTACATGCAGAAAAGAATGCTACGTTGGAACTGAAATTAAATCATGCACTACTAATCAAATGATGGACCTGTAAGTACAATCTTACATGAGACAAATCTGCAAATGACTTTTCTTATAAATCCAATGTCTTGGTGATAAAAGAAGATATTGCAGGGAAAATAAACAGCATTATTGTAACAAAGATTAGTTAAAGTAAAGACAGAAGCAAGGAAGAAACATCAAAAGATCTCTCGTCAGAGAAAGACACTTGTTGTGGTTACTATTAACCATCTCCAATGTCGTTTTACATGTTGACTCTGCGTCGGTTTGTCACCAGTTCTGGATTTCCCTTCTTCATCATCGCTACGAACTCTTCGTAGTTTATTTTCCCGTCCTGTGAGATTTTCAATTTACACAAGTGAGTGTGTGTTCACAAGACTAATGCATATAATATATGAAATGAACCAAAGCAAATAGTAATGTGTATAATAACATACACGATCGGTGTCTACTTCAGCAATGATCTCTTTGATAGACTTGTCATCACCCATGTTGTATTTCTTCATGGCCTGCTCTAGTTCTTCCATTGTTATGTACCTTAAATAACACAAAAACAAAGTGTGAGACTTTGTAACTTGTTACTAAAGAGAGAAACTCATGTTTTTATTACCCGCTGTTGTCCTTGTCAAAGTACTGGAAAGCAGTGTACAAGTGATCCTCACGTTCGATTCTGTTCATATGCATTGTTGCGGATATAAACTCCAAGTAATCTATTGACCCGTCTCCATCCATATCAGCCTAAACCAAAACAATAACAATAAGCCTTTGGATTTATGCAGGGCCAAAAGACTTAGAGAAACTTACAGCTTCCATTAACTGTTTTATTTCAGCCTCAGAGATCTTATTGCCAAGTTTTGGAAGACCGGTTCTCAACTCCTCCAAGGTGACTATTCCGTTTTTGTCAGTGTCTAGAGCTTTGAACATCTCTTTTAGACCAATGATTTCTTCTTCAGAAAGATTCTCTGCTATGACCTGAAACAAGAGATTAGTCTTTAAAACAAGAAGACTAATTAATGGCAACTGGTAAGTTAGCGTTCTTGTTTACCTTAAGTGCCATCTTCTTTAGTTTGTTCATCGCTCTGAACTGTTTCATTCTGGATAACACAGCATTGTCAAGCGGTTTGTCTGAGGCCTCACCGTCTTCTTTAATCCACGGATGGTCTGCGTATGTATTAAAAAAACGTGTAAATAGCAAGATAAAGCACATCATCAAAACATGTTACAAAGTGGTCTTACTTAGCACTTCACTAGCTGTAAGCCGGTCTTTAGGGTCATATTGCAACATTTTCCTCACAAGATCTTTGGCACCACTAGACACAGATGGCCACGGATCAGCTGAGAAATCAAGCTCTCCTTTTAGAATTGCATCAAAGATCCCTGTCTCATTTTCTGCAAACAAGTGTAACTAAACACATTCATGGTCCAGTGTTGTTTTAAACTATCTTCTCAAATAAGATGATCAAGGCATTAGTACCTCCCCAAAAAGGTGGGACACCACTGATAAGGATGTACAGAATCACACCAGCACTCCAAATATCAGCCTCTGGTCCATAGCTCCGTTTTAAAACTTCTGGTGCAACATAGTATGCACTTCCAACAAGATCCTTAAACTTATCTCCTGCTTACAACATAATAGATGAAATAACAAGTCCATTATCAAACTCTTAACAGCCTCTAGAATATGTTTTTAACCTGGTTTAAAGAAGACGGATAGACCAAAATCTGTAGCTTTCAACGGAGAGTTCTCATCTTTGCTGAGAAAGAGAAAGTTCTCAGGCTTCAAATCTCGGTGCATCACACCCATAGAGTGACAACTATGCACAACCATCACCATCTGCCTGCACAAATCCGCAGCGGCTCTCTCTGAGTAATGACCTTTAGCTATGATCCTGTCGAAAAGTTCCCCTCCTTCACACAGCTCCATTATGAGATTCACCGAGTGTCTGTCCTCGTAAGCTCCCTTCAAGTCCACTATGTTCCTACAGATGTTCAAATCAAAATGCACCAACTCAAACACACACTCTGTTCCCCTAACATACACTAATACAACATATATATTCTCGTTGTTTCTAGAATAAGACATATTCTCATTAGTCACTATCAATCTTCTAAATTAGTCTAGCCGGCGCCTATTTATTTAAAATCGGTCTAGGTGCTCAAAAACTCGGTCTATACGCACTCCAAATCAATAATTTCATATAAAACACCTAACTACCACCTAAGGATTCTTGAACATTACTAATTACTATTGGATCTTGACAGCCTTTCAGATTCATTTTCGGAAAAGCTCAAAACAAATTACCGGTAACCACTGAGATGGTGCATAGCATATGTTCTCATTAGTCACTAGTAATGTTCTAATAATTGGTCTAGCCGGCGCCCTAGAGCCTGCCAATTCAGCAAATCGGATCTAAACAATCTTTAGAACCATTATTTTTTAAATTGTTCTAGACACTCAAAAAGTCCATCTAGTTGCACATAGGTCATTACACTATTGGATCTTGACCGCTTTTAATATTCATTTTAGGAAAATCACAAAATAAATTTACCGGTGACCACTGAGATGGTGCATAATCTGAACTTCACGGCGAACATCTTCAATGTCGTCACGGTGGACAAGACGGCGCGTGGGGATTGACTTGCAAGCAAAGAGTTTTTTAGTCTCTTTGTGAGTGACGAGATAAGTGACTCCAAACTGGCCACGACCTAGCTCCTTACCGAACTCGTACGTTCCCCTGACATTCTCCATTGGTCTGCCTAAGATCCGACCGTTCTGGTTAGAAGACGTGGCGGAACGAGATCCGCCGGTTCCGGAGCCTGAGGAAGATCCGACGGGTGTGGAACCGGACCCGGAAGATCCACGGCGTTCTCCGGAAGGTTGGACATGGTGGACGACGTTGCTGGAGGAAGAGGAGGACGGTGGTGGATTGGAGGATTTGGACTTGCTGTGTCTGTGTCCCATTGTCTCTCTGAGTCAATAAAGTCAACTGAGAGATATAAAGATCTGATGGGCTTTTTATGTCTGAAGATGAACACGGGATGATGGAGATCACGTGGCGTGTTTTTACTGGTGTATAGCTGGAGATATTAAACCGCGTATTTTTGGAAACGATGGTCACAAAACGACTAATTTTTTTTTTTTTTTTTTGAGCAAAGGTCACAAAACGACTAATTATTTTTCCAACTGGGGTATAAAAAAAACTAAAGAATGAGAAAATGTAAATCATGGATTTATGCATATCCAATTCAATCTTTTGCAATTTGAGATTGAAAATAGAATAACATTATTACGACTAATTATTTTTCCAACTGGAGTATAAATAAACTAAAGAATGAGAAAATGTAAATCATGGATTTATGCATAACCAATTCAATCTTTTGCAATTTGAGATTGAAAATAGAATAAAATTATTACACTTGGATACAGTCCTGTAAGTCTATAATTGTTACTGTTACGTATGTTAATATAAAAGCTAAAAGAGAAAAGTTCCTAATCTGACTAAAAGGTTTATTTTGTCAACCATTTGAACAAAGACATGATGCCTAAAACAACAACCGATCCTATTAAGTTAACAGAGGAGAAGATTTAAGGTTCAGCTTATCTGGCAATAGCTTCTTTGAGAATTTGGATCCTGAAGGAGACCATTTTTTATACTTGGTAACACTCGTTTATGTCTCAAAAGTCTACTTCCATTCTACCCAATGGGAGCATTTATCTCTACTGAAAAGTTCTTCCAAGTACAACTCCGCTAAATATAATAGCACCAAACCATTTGTTTGACACAAACCTGATGAACCATCAAAACAACAAAGTTTTAGCTTTTTTTACAAGGAAAATCACAAAATTAACTTAGTCAGAACTGTTTACATACTTTTTACTGCAGTCAGCGCCAGAAGATAAGTCAGCTGTCCCTATTTGCCATCCTAACTGTCCCAATGCAGCCACCAGTGATGCGTAGTATTGCCACCCTTCATCATTACAGCGAGAAACCAAAAATCAAAATAAAAGACTGATATATCTAATTACTTTGTAAAAGTTGAATATGAGTACCAAGATCTGCACTCAGTCCAGAAAGTGCAAGCAACCCCATGGATGCTGTTCCAAATCCAGTTAGCCAAAGTTTTGTATTCTCACCAAACCTAAGAGCCGTCGACTTCACACCAACCTTCATATCATCTTCTTTATCCTGCAGAATATAGCGACTTTGTTACTTGTTCATAATCTATGAATTAGTTAAAGCTAAGAACAAAAAAGTGAATTATACCTGATGTGCATAAATAGTATCATAAACAAGAGTCCAGCAGATTCCTGAGAGATAAAGAGGGAGTACAACAGCTGGCTCTACGCTTCCTTTAACTGCAGTCCATCCTAACAATGCTCCCCAGTTTATTGTCAAACCTAAAAATGCTTGAGGCTGCAATAACAATCCAAGAATCAATAATTAATATTTAAAAAGGACCAAGAAGATAATATACTGACTAAATAAATTTGGGAAGCATTAAATTACCCAAAATGTAAACCTCTTCATAAGTGGGTATGAGAAGACAAGGAGCAAAGACGAAGCCCCTAACACACGGCTGCATTATAAAAATTTAAGTCCAAGGGAATGCATGACTTTATATCTTCAAAAGTTTCAAACAAAACCTGTAATTGTTAAGTTGGAGAAGAATCCCTAAGCCTAGAAGCAACTGTATCACAAGAAATTGAAGCCCTTGGAATGGTGTCAAAAGACCACTGGCTATAGGTCTTAATCTTGTACGATCAACCTGCATTTAACATAACAAATTAGATTTATAAGTTTGACATCACTTGTTAACAAAAAAAACAAAACTGACCTTTGTATCAATGTCCTGATCAAGCAAATCATTTATAGTGCAGCCAGCACCTCTAAGAAGTATAGCTCCGCAACCAAATAAACCCATCATTTTAAAACTTGGAAGGCTTCCAGGATCAGCAGCCAACGCAATTGACCTAATACAAGATTGAAATGTTATTTATTCTAAACTACAGAATCAAAAGTCAGAAATATAAACTTACCACATACAAGGCCAAGCAAGCAACCAAGTACCAATAGGTTTATCCAAACGGGCAAGCTTAGCATAACCTCTAGCTCTTTCTGGGAAATACAAATCTATCCAAGATTCTTCCTTAACACCATAAACACTACTCTTTTCCTTACGACCCCTCTCTAAAACCAAAGACGATGACCACATAATTCTAGCAGCTGATCTGTAACTCTCCTGATGCAAGTCAGTCCCTTTATGATTACGTGGGTTGATGTAGTGTGGAGTAGTAACAGGTTTGGACAAGTATATATGTTGTTGAGATTGGAATACAGGGAAGGAAGATGGAGTTGCCGAGACGGATGGTTTCAACAACCGTCGTGAAACACGGGAAAGCACAAAAAACGCCATCTTTGAGAAGAAGAAAAAAAGCTTTGCCTGCAAGAAAAAAAAAACTTACAAGAGTTTCAAAACGCCAAGAAAAACAAAGACTCATGTTTTTGTATTATTAACCTATAGCTTGTGTCTGTAAAACAGGGAATTAACTATACAACATTTTTACGGACGAGAGTCCATATAGAGTGAAACCTAACTTGTTTAAGACTAAAGTTTCTAATAAGTGATCACTACCTAGGTCCTAGGTTCGTCAACGACGAATAACAGAGCCTGATCTCAGTCGGTTCTACAGGAAGGACGAAAAAAGAAGCTAAGACAGTGTCAACAGACTGGTCGGATGAGGAAGAAGAATGGGAGTCGAATGCTTACCGGCGAAACAACGACGCCGGCGTGAAAGATAACCTCTCGGAGCTAGACTTCTCCAGTAAACTAGATGTATCACTAATGGGCCGGAACAAATAGGCCAGAAAAAGCTTGGGCGAGCCTACTAAAAGAATCACGTAGGGAATTAATGCACCCTAGAAATATTAATATTTAACTGTAAATATATTAAATATTGAACCTTCAAATTCACCTCACCTCTAATAGCCATTCATTATGCCACATAGATTAATATAGATTAATGCATAAAAATTAATAAATATTAAAAAAAACAAAATAATTATAAAAATAATAATAACACCAATTTTTTAAAAATAATAAAAAACCTAAATCCAAACTAAACTTTATACCCTAAATTTAAACCCTATATCCTAAATTCTAAACTCTTAACCTAAAATCTATACTCTAAACCCAAAACCTAGATCCTAAACCCTAAACCCTAAACCTTAGACCCTAGATCATAAACCCAAACTCTAGATCTTGAATTCAAACCCATAGTCTAAATCCAAACCCTAGATCATAAATCATGAACCCAAACCGTAAATTCTAAATTCAAACCATAAATCATAACCTTAAATTCTAAAGGAACAAGTACAAGATTCTGATTTAGAATTTAAGGTCTAGGGTTTGGGTTTAGCGTTTAGAATTTAAGATATAGGGTTTGGGTTTAGAGCCTAGTATAGGATTTAGATTTAGGATATATGGTTTGAATTTAGGGTTTAGGTTTAAGTTTTAGGGTATAGGGTTTGTGTTTAGGGTTTAGATTTTTGTTTAGGGTTATGGTTTGGATTTAGGGTTTAGCTAACGTCATAAAAATTGACATTATTATTTTTTATAATTATTTTTGTTTTTTTTTTAATATTTAATAATTTTTATTCATTAATCTATGTGACATAATGAATGGTTATTAGAGGTGAGGTGAATTTGAAGGTTCACCCTAGGGGGTGAACCTAAGTTTTGTTCTTAAATATATCCCAAAGATCTGTCACGAGTTTATGATATAAACAACATTTTGGATTCTCTGTCCTTATGTGATTCTCAAGATTGATTTGGTTGATTCATACTAAAGGATATATGTTAATAAAATCTCAGATTTGAATAACACATATATTACTATTGATCACACATTGGCACATTACTATGTTGACTTGCAGAGTTTGATCTATGATCTTGCCAAACAGCACATGGTACATGACCTTTAGTTTTGTCATGTTGTATAACAGACTCGGAGTATTGTTTGAGAAGTATTGAATCTTCAGTTTTGCAGTTTGATATCCCAGAGTTGTATGAAGTTTAAGTACGATCATACTTTCCCCATCAAAGGACTATACTAAGATAAACAAAATGTTCATGAAACTGGATTTGTTTGGTTTGATCAGGCTAGATGGGTGTTATTTTCGTTGTCTTAAGGTATTGCTATTCAATATTTTATTTTCTGAATTGTTGCTTTGATACTAATAATTTTTGAGAAGTCAATTTCATATATGTTTTTGTAAAGTTTAATAAAATAAAATACAAATTCAAACAAAACAAAACAATTAACATGGTAATAAAAATACAGACTAGGAAAAATAAAAGATTTTATAAAATAAAATACGAATTCAAACAAAACAAAACAATTAACATGCTAATACAAATACAGAGTGAGAAAATCTCCGCATAGCGCCGAAAATAAAAACGTATATATTCCATAAAGATGTTAATTTAATATCTGCATATTGAACACGATATTTTTAGTTCTTTTAATTTGTTAACTCTAATAAAATGTAAGAAACTTATACCCTAACTACTTTAACAGTCTTTGAGCTCGGGAGTGTACAATAAAGATTTAAGCAATCAGAAGGACAATGCAATCAAATGAAAAGGCCAGTGGAAAAAAAAAGTTGAACCGAATGGTACACCTTAAATAACCTGTGGTATGTATTTTGTTAAAGGGTGCGATCTTCCAGACCCGAAATATAGCCTACGATTCCATTAAAGATAATAATGTTTGGTTCGAATCCGGATTTAATAATATAACTAGATTCAGACCCGCATCAAAACAAAGAATTTTATTCCAAAAAATTGAATAAAAGTATTTTAAGTGTTAAATTTGGTTGTTTAGACATGTGTTACTAATGTAGTGATCAGTCATATCCGATTTTATGTAGTGAACGCTAAACGATAAGATACCAAGATTTAATAACAGTAAATTTATATGCAAATATATAAATACATTACTGGTTATAAAGATTACTCCTTAAGCTTATACTTGTGTAGTTTGTTAAGATCCAATTTTTAAGCATCTTGGCTTTTTATTGTCAGCAAGTATCTTGTCTATTATTTTAAACAAGTCTATACAGAAATTATGTCGAGATTTTTGAATTTTTTTGATCAGTTTCATAAGAGAAAAAATACTTGGTTTATATTTCTTTGAGCATTTTAGATACATTTTTGGGGTTGGAATGACTTTTTTTTTTTGAGTTTTGAAAGTTGTTCGAGTTTTCTCGGATATTCGTTTGGATTCGGGTTTGGTTTAGATAAAATAAAAAACTTGAAATACCAAAAACAAAACTCAATCAGATATTTATATATGTTGGATTATGCTCATCCGGTTATTTTTTTGGGTACGTTCGATTCAAAATTTCTGGTTCATTTTCCCACCCCTAGTAACTATGAGCATGCCTTCAGTTTACATTTCTTATAACCAAGATAGTTTTTAAATTATTGCTTTATTTAATTTTCATATAGAATATTTAAAAAATCAGTTTAAGTATTTAAATGTAGTTTTTAGAGTGTTTTGCAAAAAAAAATTTCTTTTTGTAACTTTATAACAGTTTACTTGAAAGTCATCGATAAATATCATTCTGGTGTAAATTGTGAACTTTTAGCGAATGTTCACATTGGAAGGATTTCAAATCGTGTTCATTCTTTCTTCCATCTAAATTATTAGAAAACATAGTTTTGTTTTTATTGATTAATACTTCTTTAATTTTTTAAATAAGTGTCATTTATTATTTTCTTTGTTACACAAAAAATTTCATTCAGAATTTTAATGTAACTTATAGTTTAAAATTAATTAAAATTACATTATTTTTATAAATAATTTTATTTATTTAAAATTTTATTGGTTAAATATTTGTAATTAACAAAAACTTAAATATACTTCACTTATTTGTTTAATATATGTGAAAATGTTAAAGTGATACTTTCTGTGAAACGGAGGAAGTACAACTGTTGAATGAAAAATATTTTTTCTCCTTAAATGCTTTTTTTGAACGACCTCCTAATATAGTTATTTATAAAATTAATGTATGTGTAATTAATTTTAAACTATAAGTTACATTGAAATTCTGAATGACATTTGTGTAACAAAAAAAAAAGACATTTTCTCCTTAAATACAACACCGCACGATCTTTTGTCATTTCATTATATATATGTTTAACAAATGTTAAAGTCACGCTTTTAAGCATTTAGTACTAATTTTATACAAGGTTGAAAGAAATCTATATTATAATAGTTCAGTTCTAAGACTCCTAAAGTTGTTGTGGGTCCCGCGTGTTTAAATTTTAAAAGCTT